AGTTCTGTGAGATTTGATGGTTGTGGAACCAGCTGCCTGATGGCTCTTTTAACTTCGTCCCACAAATGCTCAATTGGATTGAGATCTGGTGATTGTGGGGGCCACCTAAGCAAGGTAAAGTCTCCCTCATGTTCTTGAAACCACTCCTGCACAATACAAGCACCGTGGCATGGCGCATTGTCTTGTTGGAAGAAGCCATCTCCATTGGGATACGCCATCAACATGATAGGATGAACTTGATCAGCAATGATACTTAGGTATGTTGTGCTATTCAGACGTTGTTCCACACGAATTAAAGGGCCCACGTTCAAAGGCTGTTAAAACACGTTGTTTACCCATATCTTCAGAAAAAAATCACTCCTACTGTCGTGGTAAACAACGTGCTTCCCTATTTATAGTGGTCTGGCCCTCTAGCAACTTCAGTGGGAAATTATAGCTAATTTGCCTACAAACATCATAATAATCTGGCCACTCAGTGTATATATCAGACAGATACTGCTTACCCTCTACAAATTTTTATAAAAGATTACATGTAAAGATGAGAGGAGGAAATAAAGGGGTGGGAGTGAACAGAGGGAGGAGATGCAGATGACGCCCAGGTTTCTGACTTGGGCTGCTAGCTAGCTGCTGCACAATCCATCAGAGGGTGAAGGGAGAAAGGCTGGTTGGGGACATACAGGGGTTCTGACATTGAGTTTTCTTTCATTTTTCATTTTGAGGGTGTTTTATTTTGTTTCTATCTGACACTGTGTTTAAAGCAATGTGCTCATTGGAGCTTGGCAATGTCATAACCCGTGTCTGAAAAGCTTGGTTTTATGAGACCAATTAGAGATGGTAAAATATGTATTTTAGAGATATTTTCCATCCTAATAGCCCCTAACCATCCCTGAGATTCTTTTCCTGACTCTTACATTAATTATACTTGCATATTTTGTCTTTTCAGTAAAATTATGACGGTTTGTGTTAGTCCATGCTCATGCCTCAGAATGTACACCCTTCCTTCACACCATTTTTCTATAAGAAAAGTGCATTTATATTATGACCTAGTAGAATGCAGTAGTAGGCACAAAGTTAATAAATTGTGGCATAAGCTCTATTGGAATAAACATGATTCATCTTGATTTCAAATTCTGGAAAAAAGGGAATGTGCTAAAATTAAAAGGAGTTTCATCATTGAATGAAGACAGAGAGAGCTGTCTGCCTTTGTGAATGCTACTAAGATCCCTTTTAACTTGATTTTACCAAGAGATTTTTCTGAAATATCTGTCAAAATAATTCAACTAATTTTTCTCTTTATTCCTACTTCTCTTGTAATTTCAGAGAGCCCTATGGGGCTAGATAAGTTTTCTTCTGTAGGCATTACTCTAAGAAGTGTAATTAAATACATACTAGAAGAAACGTTCCTTTTCCATTGTCTTCCGTGCTATAAATTTGATGTCACTGATGTACAGTTATAGGATGCATAGCTCTCATCTTTGCTTTTTCATCTCAGATCTGACCCCTCACCATCTTCTCTTGCCCTTGAGTCTGGCACCTTCCTGGTGCTGGCAGACATCATGCAGCATTGGCTGGGAGCCAGACTGAGCCTTACAGGAAAGCAGACTGACATGAGCTCAATAATTAGAACAATGCTGGACACAATGCTCAATAAGGATCTGCTGAATTAATGGATGCGTGGGCTACCTATCTGTTGCAAACAATTCAAGTTGATAATGGTGGGGCTAAGCATTATAAATGAGAATGGAAGACTGACCAGCTCTTTGGTCCTCCAAAGTCAATAAATCTTATTTAAAGCCTTCTTTTAGACACATAAAAGTTTTATTCACTTTTAATATGTATCAATAATTTTAACAATGTGAAAAATAACCATTCTCAAATATTTTGTGTATTATTTTGAATAATAGAGACTTTAACAGAGAATAGCAGCTAGCCAATTTCAATGTGAAGTGTTAGGATGACACGTAAGTGTACTATATAATACTAGAGGCCCGGTGCATGAAATTTGTGCACTGGAGGAGGGGTCCCTCAGCCCAGTCTGCACCCTGAAGGATGAGGCCTAAACCAACAATAAGACATCCCTCTCGCAATCTGGGACCGATGGCTCCTAACCACTTACCTGCCTGCCTGCCTGATTGCCCCTAACTGCCTTTGCCTGCCTGCCTGATCACCCCTAACTGCCTCTGCCTACCTGCTTGATTGCCCCTAACCATCTCTGCCTACCTGCCTGATCGCCCCTAACTCCTCTGGCTGCTGGCATGATCACCCCTAACCACCCTCCCCTGCCACCTTATTGCCCCTAAGTGCCCTCCCCTGCTGGCCTGCTGGCCCCTAACCGCCTCTGCCTTAGCCCCTGCCACGGTGGCTTTGTCTGGAAGGAGGACCAGATGACCAGAAAATGTCCGGTTGACCTGGTCTAATTAGCATGCTACCCTTTTATTAGTATAGATACTTCAATATCAAATTCTTAGCTACTTATTATATAATAGCTCTTGATGTAGAGTTGTTATAAATTCATCAACTCTAAAACCAACTAAATAATTTGAGGACTATAGTGTTCTGAAAATTCCTAAAATTAGTGTTTCTTATTGATTTCTTTAGTCTTTGCCATGTTCATTGGAATAATACAAAATAATTTCCAATTACCATTATTTTATCCTTTGTCTTACAATGTACTTCGTTGACTTATTTTGATTCCAAAAGCTAATAAATAAAAAGGAATTTTGTCTAGCCACATTCAGTCATATCTCTACAGGCACAGATTTATCTGTACTTATAAATATACACATTGCACTCAGGATTACAGATGGATGTGCAGCTCCTGCATCCTCAGCAGCACAAGGCAGCCTCCATCCCTGGCATGTTCATGTGCCCGTTTCACCTGAAACTCTTGCTATTTCTATTACTGCTCCTCAAGGGCAGCTGCAACTCTGCAGAGTTTTTGTCCTGAGAGACTATGGTTACTTTTTTTCCAATTATTTTAAGAAAACTTATTAGCAAAATGCATGTTTTAACTACAATGATGATATCCAATAACTTGATGTAGAACCACGATTTTATTTAATCTAAAAATCTAGGCACTGAAGGAATGATCTAAATAAAAATATCATTTTATTGGTATTGTATTTGCACCTCCCACAACCTTGGAAGTCAAAATATGAAAAATTAGAGTGGGCTGTAATTTATAAAAAGTAAAGAAAGAGATAAAAAAAAAGGAAAGGAAAGTTAGATGTCAGAACTAGAAGATTTTGTTTGGTTAAATATTTGTTAAACCAAAGTAAACTACTTAGGGCCCTCTTTAGATAAAACAGCATATTTTAAAAAGGCATTCATAGGTTCAAATATAAATACCACTTAAATTGTTATTATTATTAATTCACATAATACATATTTCCAGAATCTGCAAAAGCATTGTTTTACCCTGACTAGTACAACTATTAACCATATCAAAACAAACCCAATAGACTTTGCAAAACTTATTTTCCAACTCATACATTCTTTCATAAGTTAAATTTACAAGTTTGATCCTAATATAGTCCCATCTGCATATGCCAAAATATAATTCTTTTCAGTTATTAGGGTTAGAGCCCCAAACTGTCTTACTTTCTTTCCTGCTATATGCTCGGTCCCACATGAAATATTCATGGGCCTCCATTGGTCATGCAAGTCAAGAAAGGTGACAGTTCTGGAACCCACAGAAGTTTGCTCTATTCAGCAACTGGTGTGTTGAAGTACATTTTTATCCAAACATCGTTGCAGGCCACATTGATCTAGGAAAGGATGAGTGCTCATACCAATGAGCTCTCCAAACCCCTACAGAGAACTTTTTCTTCTGAATTATTTGGAATTTTAAGAGTCATGCACGACCTCACTTGGAATGGTAGAGACTAGCGAATTGTCCCTGGGATGTCTGATTGCCTCATGACTTTGGATGGTGGAAGGTGGAACATTTAAGTCCTCACTCTGAAAGAAGAACTTCCTCATGTGCACAATGAACTGACGGGTTATTTCCAATGAACATTATTTTATCCTTTGTCTTACAATGTGCTTCGTTGACATATTTTGATTTCAAAAGCTAATACATAAAAGGGAACTTTGTCTAGCCGCATTCAGTCATCTCTCTACAGAAAGATAGCTTTGCTCTTGCTTTGCAAGCTGGCTTGTCTCTAGCATACTACCCAAACCTTGGATTTCATGGTAACGTTAGTTCTCTGCTTTTCTGTACATAGAACCACATACACCCATTTCCGTGCATACTCCCTTCACATAGAGATGTTCTTTCCGTGCAGCGCTCTATGTGGAAGAGATCATTAGCGGCAAAAGGAAATTCTTTTGAGAGATTCACCTTTTCAGTTATTAGTTGTAAACCGCTTTGTATAACTTCCCATTGTTGTCTTTAATCCCACCATCACCCTCCACATGTGGAAAAGCAATAAAAATTGAGGCTGAAGAAAAACAGTAAGATGCCTTCAATTTCTTTTTGCTGTGGTTTTACGATAAAACCTCCTTCTGTGACTATAACTATCAACTTTATTAAGGAATAGCTTTAACCCAGAGTCACATTAGAACCAGAAAAAGAGGCATTTGTTAGGCAGTAGGTTATCTCTGGGACACTCACCCCTGTGAATCATGTCTGCCTTTTCTCTCTTCCTCTTTTAATTAACAGTGGGAAAAGAACAGTTATGTTAGTAGATAACAGAGCTGGAAAGAGAGATCCAGAAAGTGACATGAACTATGCCAATCTCCAGCCTTGCCAAGCAGGACACATTATATATGGGAAATCAGCCTTAGTCAACACATATTCAATGTAAAGCGACCTTGAGGGAATTGTGTGTGTGTGTGTGTGTGTGTGTGTGTGTGTGTGTGTGTGTATTTCTAAATAAGAACACTACAGACTGAATCATTTGGGGAGAATATAAATGAACCAAAAGAAAGGCAGGAGAGGATCTTGAAGAAAAAGTTAAATCCAAGGAAAACTTGACAAATATATTCCTTGCACTTACCTTTTCTGCCGACTGAGCTGTACCAAAAAAGATGGGAATGAAGGCTAACCAAATGATGCAGGTGGTATACATGGTAAATCCGATCGGTTTGGCTTCGTTGAAAGTCTCTGGAACACCTCTCGTTTTAATGGCATAAACAGTACAAGTGACCATCAAGAGGATGCTGTACCCCAGTGAACAAATGAGCGAGAGGTCAGAAATGTCGCACTTGAGCACGCCTCTGGCATTCGCTGGGTCTAGAGTCCGTTGTTCGCCATAGTCAATGATGATGTGTGGAGGGTCCACCACAAACCAGACACACACTCCCAGGAGCTGGATGGAGATGAGGCTGAAGGTGATCACCAGCTGGGATGCTGGACTAATGAACTTGGGTGCTGTGACGGATTTCTTCCCCTGCTCAAATATCCGGTGGATTCGGTTTGTTTTGGTCAGAAGGGCTGCATAGCTGAAACACATGCCCAGTCCTAGGAAGATCCGTCGCAAGGAGCATATGATTGTATCCGGTGCTGCGATCATCAGGAAGGTGATGGAGTAACACAGGAAGATCCCTGTCAGGAGCACGTAACTAAGTTCGCGTCCTGAAGCCCTCACAATCGGGGTGTCGTTATAGCGGACGAAGGTCACGATCACAAAAGTGGTGGCTATGATTCCCAATATGGCAACAAACACAGGCACCACAGCCCAGGGAGAATGCCACTCGAGTTTGATGATGGGGATAAGCTGGCAGGCTGTGTGGTTGGTGTTTGGTCTCTGGTCCAAAGGGCAAAGTTCACAGGAGAGCTCATCCACCTGGTAGTTGTAGCCTTCACAGCGCTCACAGTGCCAGCAGCAAGGGACCCCTTTCACCGTCTTCTTCCTCTCCCCAGGCTTACAGGGCAGGCTGCAGACAGACGCTGGGTGCGTGTGTTCCCTGCTAGCCCACTGCATGTCTTCCACCTGTGGGCATAAAAAATTAATGAACCTTCCATTCTCCCCCATTTATAATATCCTAATCCTAGCTAGAGGTTTGTCATAAATCACTGAATGTTGACAGTACAAATACAGTTTACCATCCTAAGAGCCCAGTTTCTTTCCCTGATATTGACTTGAGGAAAGTGTTAAATGATTGGGTCCAATAAATCATTCACATAATCAACTTGATGAGTGTCATTAGTTTCCATTTACCTACTCAATGTTGACCAATCTGACATTCAGGGAAAGATTGATTGACCCAAACAGTTTTAAAGCTCCGAAAACAGCCCCATGGAAAGATGTTTTAGCTCTAATCACAGGTATTAATGCCAGAACCCCTCAAACACTGGCTTAAGGTAGAAACACACATATACACGAGGATCCAAGTCTTTATACTATATTTTCAGAAATTCAAACCACACTGTCAAGTTTGAAAGGAGAAGGAAAAACTAGCTGCTTTAATCTCTGACACTCCTCATGTGTTTATGCTGATAATTCTATTAGTGTTTTGCATCCATTTAAGTTTGAAATACATTTTTCCCAATCTTGCATTTCCACACTGTGAAAAACACCATGCTGAATGAGACCGTTGGGTGGTAATGTTTTCCATTGAACAAGAGTAGTCTTATAAGGTGGCATAAAGCGGTGAAAGTGGTACAAATGAGGCAGTCCACATCTGTGCTTAGTATCTGCTTAAGGAACTTAAAGTTCCACTTTGCTCTTTTGGATTAAATCACAAAATATCTCTATTAAAATTAAAATGCTATTTTTAGGTGATTTGCTACTATGTGACCTCTTACCTTGAATTTGTTTACTAAAGGGTCTGGACCCAGTTCCAACATGTGTGAGGTGGAAGTTGGGAGTCTCCCACACCATCAAGCAATTCTGGGACATTAGCCTGGTGTCCTATGAGTCAGCTCAATTCTGACATTATCTACCTGGAAATAGCATCAGGTCCCTCAGGTTAAGGGCTCAGTCCCCAAGCTCAGTACTTGCAGAGGGATGCCAAATCTTCCCAAGGTGGAGTAGAGAATTCATACCTGTGTAATTTCAAACACCCTTTCTTGAGAAAGTAGACATTGCTTCATGTGTCATAAGGGCGCTCAAGACCATTCTATCTACCCTGTCTGTTACCACAGAGGAAAACAAACTATCTCAACCCTACTAATTTCCTAGTGGGCTTTTAATGATTTAGAAAGTTATTATATTTCCTTATAGGATCCCAGTAGGAAAGAAAAAAGTTAAATTAGAAGCTTCTCTCGGAAATATTGAGAAAAATAAAATGCTCCACTTAGTGGCTAACATATTGATTTTATACCAGTGATGGCGAACCTTTTGAGCTCGGCATGTCAGCATTTTGAAAAACCCTAATTTAACTCTGGTGCCATGTCACCTATAGAAATTTTTTGATATTTTTCAACCATAGTAAAACAAAGATTTATATTTTTGATATTTATTTTATATATTTAAATGCCATTTAACAAAGAAAAATCAACCAAAAATATGAGTTCGCGTGTCACCTCTGACACGCGTGTCATAGGTTCGCCATCACTGTTTTATACTGTAAATGGACTCATATAAGATAATGAAATTTTTTTCTGAAGATTATGTTTTAGAGCTAATTATTAGAAAACCAAAATTGTATTTTGTTTGAGGCTTCTTAGATCTATAATGTTACTATAAAAAAAGGCAGCAAAAATATGTTAGAAATATTAAACTTCAAGATTGGTAGAAATCTTAAAGGTCAGTCCTTTAGAAACAATGTTTTAGGCCCTCTGCATTAACATTCCCATGCAAAATAGTTTTTGCAATGTACTCATCTTAAACATTCTGCAAGAAAAGCATCAGCGTTCAAATCCAATGACCTCCTCTCAATTCATCCCTTTTCTTGAAACACTCCTTTCTTGACATCTTGAAACACTATGACTATCGTTTCTCTCCAACTGTCATGAATGCTGGTTCCCTCTCTTCTGTTTGGTTCCCTTAATTCTGCCAATGGTTCTATCCATAATGTTTTTTGACATAACTTTCTCTATCACACATATCTCCCATTCTCTGGCTTCAATCATCATTGCTCTACTTCAATCCTGCTCTCATTACTTGACAACTAGTACAACATTTCCGATGACTTAATAGATACAGAGGCAGAGCTGCCTCAAACAGATTGTCAAACTGCAGCGGGAAGGCCGGGGAGGGTTGGGGGGCAGGAGGGAGGGGGGTAAGAGATCAACTTTTTAAAAAAAGGACACATATGTAATACCCTTTGTAATACTTTAAGCAATAAAAAAATAAACAAATAAAAAAACAACAACAAAAAAAAACATTTCTGATGACCTGCTAATCAGACAAAACCAAATTATGAGCAACAAAGCTCATTATATATATATTCATTATCTGGCCTAAGGAATTTCTTCTTGATATCTCTAATTTTATTCAATTGGATTTCATATATAGCCTCAGTCATTATATTTTTACTTTGATCCATCCATTGCTTTGTCCAGCTCTACTGAAGTAATTTCTCATAATGCCATTTTTTGACCACCATCAAGGGTTTGCAATTGGCTGTTCTTTCTCTTCTAATTCATCCTGTACATATAAATCAGGACCAGATAAAAATATAAATATATTTTATTTGTTTCCTCCCCTGATAAAAAAATTACAAAGACTTCTCATGGATAAAGAGGAAAAATAAAAATTGGTAACCTGACTTTAAGCCCTCAAACCCTCGGTCTCAATCTGCCTCTTGAATTGTATATAAAATGCTCATTCAGGAATTATATGCCACACTCAGTTTTTGTATTCATATTTCTAAAATATATATTTTGACTTTCTTTCTCTATTTACTCCTGTTTTGCTTCTGCCTAAAATACCATATTTCCATTTTGGGCTATAAAACACTGCTATTCAGTTTCTTATGTAAGGAGCTTCGACATTGCCACTCCATCTTAATTTAAAAGCTGAACAGACTGAGAAATCAACACTGCTTCAAAGATCCCAATCAGAGGTCACGACACAGGGCATACTACTGCCCCCAAGATTAGAGAGACAAAAAGGTGAATAGCATGAGCCACTACTTACAACGGGCAGAGACTCTCCAGCAGGAACGACCTAGTGAACCAGTGCTGGGGTAAGAAAACCTGAACTCTAATTGCTAGAGGCTCAGTGTGGACAACCCTAAGAGGTAAACTCCAGTGGGACTCAGTCATAGGGAATCCCATAATTTTGTGAGATTTATTTGCAGGAGCTCAACGTTGTTCTCACAGTGAATTTGAGAAAAATCTCATGCTTCCAGCAGGGGGAGAGGAAAAGGAACAATTTTGAAATATGCGAGATCAATCTGCTCTTTTTGAAAAGCCTGCCCAAAGGGAAACTAGTGAACGAGCTGAACCTGCTGGGGTATTATCAGACCTTAACTGACCTAGGAAAGGGAAATACCCAACCCCAGCCCACTCTAGCCATTTTGTCCAACTGAGGGGAAAGAAAAAACAGAAACACTTGTAAAGTTCATAGTCCTGACAGAGGCATCAGCTCATTAAAGGACTGAGACCGAACCGAGAACTATACAACATTTCTCCTCCTCCAACACTTTACCACCACAATATAAAGGCCTATTTACAGCAGTTCCTCTAACCCAACACATCTTGTCAAGCTATCAGGAAAAAGTTGCCAGGCCCAAAAAAACAAACAAACAAATACACACACACACACACACACACACACACACACACACACACACACCTTAAAGAAACAGAGCAAGCATCAGAACCAGACATGTAATCAATAATTATTTTAAATGTAAGCAGGTTAAATGCTCCAATCAAAAGACATGAAGTGTCTGAGTGGCTAAAAACACGGCCCATACATATGCTGCCTACAAGAGACCCACTTTAGATCAAAAGACCCACACAGACTAAAAGTAAAGAGATGGAATAAAGATATTTCATGCAAATGGAAATGGAAGAAAGCTGGGGGACACTGAATTATTTATAGATTTAACATGTGTTGCAGCATATCTCTAGTAGTAACCAGAGTTTTACTGTTTTTTCTAGAAGCATTTATTTTAAAAGCTAATGAGAAGTTGTTTGGTTTTTTAAATAATTTATGCTTTTTCTAAATAGGTTGTTTAACTTATTTAGATACAATGTTCCTTGTATCATTGTTATTAAATGCTCAGCATGCTTCTGAGGTTTGTAGATGTCATATTATGGCCCAGTGTTTGGCAGTCGCTGGTTGCCATATGCTGCTTCCCTGGAATGCTGAAGGGGCAGCAGCATTGCCCTGGAGTCGGGAGGCATTCCCGAGGGATTGGTTTTAATCTGAATAAGTATAGGTGCATGTTATAATTTTGAGGGGTAGTAGCCTATTCAAAGGTCCTTGGCATTTAAAACTGATAATCTGCTTCTGTTCGGGCCTTAAACGTCTTAAAAATTCCAGTGCATTAAGTGCACAGCACATGTGATCACAGTCCAGGAGTCTTTAATGGCTGACATAAAGCTTTTAAAAAGACCTGTGTGCTTCATGTCACAAAACAAAGTAGCAAAACTGCAAAGCCTCCTGCCTTAAAATCACTCCCTTTGTTGAAGGTTTTGAGGAGAAAGAGTGGAAGTTAAGGTTTCACAAATGCTTAGACAAGGCAGCCACCCGGTGTTCTGGAGACATTAATCACTGCAGCTTTCCCTCCGCTCCTTTCTCTCGGCCGTTAGGTCTTTGGGGCGAGGCAGAAGCCCCTGACTCCAAAGGCTTTGGTTTTACGCTTTCCACCTGATTATAAGTTTTTAAGATGGTTCTTTATCATACTCAATTTTTTTAGCCTCTTCACTGTTCTCTAAACACAATGTCATTACATTCCATCAAAGAATTAATAAAGAAATCTACTTTAATTAAAAAAAATAAGATATACCACCTTTGCAGTGGCATTGTGTTATTTGAAAATGGACTTGGATTAGTTGTAAATGTGCATTGCAAACTCTTAGGGAAATCACTGA